TCCAGTGTTTCACCACCCTCCTAGTGAAATTTTTTTTCCTAATATCCAATCTAAACCTCCCCCACTGCGACTTGGGAGCATTGCTCCTTGTTCTGTCATCTGCAGAACAGTCTAGAATCCCCCTCATTCTTCTCTTCTGCAGACTAAACAATCCCTGTTCCCTCAGCCTCTCCTCATAAGTGATGTGCTCCAGCCCCCAAATCATTTTTCCAATTTTCCACATCCTTCTTGTAGTGTGGACACAATACTCCAGATGAGGCCTCACCAATGCAGAATAGATGGGAATGATCACGTCCCTCGATCTGCTGGCAATGCTCCTACTTATACAGCCCAAAATGCCATTGGCCTTCTTGGCAACAAGGGCACACTGTTGACTCATATCCAGCTTCTCGTCCACTGTAACCCCAGGTCCTTTTCTGCAGAACTGCTGCCGAGCCATTCGGTCCCTAGTCTGTAGCAGTACATGGAATTCTTCCATCCTAAGTACAGGACTCTGCACTTGTCCTTGTTGAACCTCATCAGATTTCTTTTGGCCCAATCCTCTAATTTGTCTAGGGCCCTCTGTATCCTACCCCTACCTCCAGCGTACCTCCCAGTTTAGTGTCATCTGCAAACTTGCTGAGGATGCAATCCACGCCATACTCCAGAACTCTGAGGATATTAGACACAACTGAGCCCAGGACCTACCCTTGGGGCACTCTGCTTGATACCGGCTGCCACCTAGACATGGAGCCATTGATCGCTAGATGTTGACCCCTATGATCTAGCCAGCTCTCTATCCACCTTGTAGCCCATACTTCTTTAACTTGCTGGCAAGAATACTGTAGGAGACCGTGTCAAAAGCTTTGCTAAAGTCAAGGAATAATCTGTCTACCGCTTTCCCCTCATCCACAGAGCCGGTTATCTCGTCATAGAAGGCAATCAGGTGGTCAGGCATGACTTGCCCTTGGTGAATCCATGCTGACTGTTCCTGATCACTTTCGTCTCCTCTAAGTGCATCAAAATGGATTTCTTGAGGACCTGCTCCGTGACTTTTCCAGGGACTGAGGTGAGGCTGACTGGCCTGTAGTTCCCCCGGATTCTCCTTCTTCTCTTTTTTAAAGATGGGCACTACATTTAGCCTTTTTCCAGTCATCCGGGACCTTGCCAGGAGTTTTCAAAGATAATGGCCAATGGCTCTGCAATCACATCCGCCAACTCCTTTAGCACTCTGGGATGCAGCGCATCCGGCCCCATGGACTTGTGCTCGTCCAGCTTTTCTAAATAGTCCAGAACCACTTCTTTCGCCACAGAAGGCTGGTCACCTCCTCCCCATGCTGTGCTGCCCAGTGCAGTAGTCTGGGAGCTGACCTTGTTCATGAAGACAGAGGCAAAAAAAAGCATTGAGTAAATTAGCTTTTTCCACATCCTCTGTCACTAGGTTGCCTCCCTCATTTAGTAAGGGGCCCACACTTTCCTTGACTTTCTTCTTGTTGTTAATGTACCTGAAGAAACCCTTCTTGTTACTCTTAACATCTCTTGCTAGCTGCAACTCCAGGTGTGATTTGGCCTTCCTGATTACAGTCCTGCATCCCCGAACAATATTTTTATACTCCTCCCTGGTTATTTGTCCAATCTTCCACTTCTTGTAAGCTTTTTTTTTTGTGTGTGTGTGTTTAAGATCAGCAAGGATTTTACTGTTAAGCCAAGCTCGTCGCCTGCCATATTTACTATTCTTTCTACACATTGGGATGGTTTGATCCTGCAATCTCAATAAGGCTTCTTTAAAATACAGCCAGCTCTCCTGGACTCCTTTTTCCCCCTCAGATTAGCCTCCCAGGGGATCCTGCCCATCAGTTCCCTGACGGAGTCACAGTCTGCTTTTCTGAAGTCCAGGGTCCGTATTCTGCTGCTCTCCTTTCTTCCTTGTGTCAGGATCCTGAACTCAACGAACTCATGGTCACTGCCTCCCAGGTTCCCATCCACTTTTACTTCCCCATCTAATTCTTCCCGGTTTGTGAGCAGCAGGTTAAGAAGAGCTCTGCCCCTAGTTGGCTCCTCCAGCACTTGCACCAGGAAATTGTCCCCTACGCTTTCCAAAAACTTCCTGGATTGTCTATGCACCGCTGTATTGCTCTCCCAGCAGATATCAGGGTGATTGAAGTCTCCCATGAGAACCAGGGCCTGTGATCTAATAATTTCCATGAAGTGACCTTAACTTTCTCTGCAATAAGCTAAATTGTGTGTCCTTTTTGACATGGGGACACCAGAACTGGACCAGTCCCCAGTGATGGGATCTCTAATGCTATACACAGAGGTAATATCACCTTACTCCTGCTTGTTGTTCCCATCCCTCCACCTACTAAAGTACACTTCCAGAGCTGTGAATGTGGGTGTGTTTCTGGGTTTGAGCTACATTGACACAGCTGGTTCAGGAGGCTACAGGACTGGAGTAGCAGGGGATGCTGCAGGTAAATAATGCCACACATCTGCAGAGCTGAGGTGAGTGAAGTTTGCGGAGCACCTCCCCGTGTTGCACCTGGCTCTGCTTGGGAGGGCAAGAGAATTTTATTGCTTATCTGAATGTTACAATTCTAAATGCAGTTCAGAGATTCATGGGCTGGATTCACACTGGGTTGGAGAGTTGTCTCAGCCAAGCTCCCCAGATCGCACATGCTGGATACTGAAAGCCTGCAAAGGAGCTTGACCCAGCACCAGACTCATGCCTAGAGCCACCTGACTGCTGAAAAAGTGGCCATATCTTTATAAGACCTCAGCTTCCCCAGTGAGCAATGGCCCCCACAGTCCCTCCACCTCCTTCTCCAATGGAGAAATCCCACCTTGCCCCTCTACTGACAGCAATGGAGAGCTCTGCTTCCCTCCCGCACTGAGGGGGAGGGATAGCTCAGTGGTTTGAGCATTGGCCTGCTAAACCCAGGGTTGTGAGTTCAATCCTTGAGGGGGCCATTTAGGGATCTGGGGCAAAAATTGGGGATTGGTCCTGCTTTGAGCAGGGGGTTGGACTAGATGACCTCCTGAGGTCACTTCCAACCCTGATATTCTGTGATTCTGAGAGCAGTGGGGAATTCCCTCCCCAGGCTGTTCTCAGTGGGAGCTCTTGGGTGTTGAGCTTGCTTGTAAACGTGGCCTCCAGCCTCTGCCCCTGGGTACCCATGCTGCCCCGGGGCAGCCACGAGGCCTCTTCAGCAGGACCACTGCTGCCAGCATGCAACTCAGCATTGCCGAGTGCAATGTAGCTGTCGTTTGCAGAGATCAGTGGCCGTTTCTCTTCAGATTCCTGCTCCTCTGGACCATGGGGTCCTGTCAGAACTTGGTACTGAGCAAACCTCCATTTCCCCCATCTGTGAATTAGGGCTAAGGCCCACCTCACGGGGGCTGAAGGAAAGTTAATACCTCTCCAAACAGCAGGCAGGCCCTCAGCTGGAAAGCACAATAACCTTCCTCCATGCTATATAACGTGCTCCAGCTGCTTGTGATTTGCCAGACCAGCTAGATCTCCCTGCCAGCTGGCACGGCTTGCTCAGAGGGTTGTGCTGGGGATGCTCGTTAGTTCTCCCCCTCCACCCCCCGCTGCCAGCTGGAGTTTCTGGAGGAGGCCTGGTTGTGCAAGGCAACTGCTGTCCCCTGCCAAAATCTCTGTGCTACCCAGGGAGCAGTTACTGAGCTCCAAAGGCACCTCTGTTTCTGGCACCCAGCAGGCTAATCTGAGGGAATTGACTATTGCCATTCTCCTGGCTTGTCTTGGATCTTCTCCCTCCCCAGAGGAGATTGAGCCCCATAACTTGACAATGTGAAGGGAGTGGGGGGGATCCTGCTCCCTCCCTCCCTGCCCCATGGTGGTGGTGCTGCTGTTCAGGAGGTGAGGATAGTTTTTCATTCTGCTCTGTCCTGACTCTCCATCCCAGGAGATGCTGGTTTGCCAGTCACCTCGTGCAGCTGGTCAGGTGAGAGCTGGGGTGTTTGCACTGCAATTCAACTCTTTCTGTGTTGTAATTTCCACAGTATTGGAGCAAAGATCCATTCTTATGTAGTGACTTGAACCATGGGTCGTCTGTGAGGACTGAGCCTGTGACCCACGCACAAGCCTTAGGAAGGAGGGCCGTGTTTGGGCGGAGGAGTGATGGTGCTGGGCACTGAGAGACAGTGCAGTTCAGTGCATAGGCATCTGGACAGAGTCAGATTTTGGTCTATCTCCAGATGACTTTGGGCAAGTCACTTCAACCTCTCTGCCTTGGTTTTTCCTCTCCCACTCTGTGTGATCCATTTAGGTGCAGGCTCCTTGGGGCAGGGGCTCTCTCACTAGGGCTCCTTGTCTTCACTAGGAAAAAGGTGGAAAGCCATGTGGTAAAACCCCCGTGCAGACAGGGCAGTTGCAGTTTCAACACATGTTAGCAGGACGGGGTGACCCCCAGGGCCCCCCTTAGTGTTTACCTCAACCTGCTACCACATGGGAAAACTAAACTGCCATGTCCTTACTAGGATTTTACTATGCTAAGTGTGGTCTTACCATGTGTTAGCTTTCTTCCTACATGTGGATGCATCCCCAGTGTCTGTCCAGCACCTTGCACCACAGGGCTGTGATTCCCTCCTGGTGCTACCAGGCCCCACTGTAATACAAACAGGAAGCCCAGTCAGAGGTGGTGCAGTGTCTAAAGTTGGGTGCCCTCGCTGCACTGAGGGAATTTAGGAGATGTTGCCGGACAGTAGGAGCTATATATTGTTTGAGAAGTGCCAGCATGTCTTAATTGACCTCAGCCCCCTCCCCTGGAGGAAAGACTGTCCTGGGTTGAGTTGGTTGGACAGCAGAACAATTCAGCCCTTCCAGCCTACCTGGGACAATCCAGGCCTCCTAGGATTTTACCTAGGCTACAGCCAAGTCTGTCCTCTCCTGAAAGCTGTTCTGCATGGGGGAAGCAGGGGGGGACAAGGAGATGGGCTGGGGTAGATGTCCTTTCTCGCTAGCGCAGCAGTGCGAGTGGTCTCTGTCTTCCATTCCCCAGAGTCTGCTACGCAAGAACAGATCCTCTGCTGAGCACGCAGGTCCCTGGTGTCGTCCTGAGTGATTGCCAGCAGCATCATGAAGGCTCTTCTCCTTGTCCTGCTGGCTGAAGTCTGTCTCGCCTCCCTTGTCCCAGGTATGTGGATCCCTAGGTTACTCACGCCCAGGCCATTCCTGGGGGGTGCGGGGCCTGGGACAAATCAGCCTGCACCAGCTTGGGGGCCTTGCTCTGCATCTGTGGCTGGGAGCCTAGGGGTCTCGCAGCATCCCCCAAATCCCTAGTTCCCATGCCTGTCTTCCAGGACTGACGGTGCCAGCCAATTGCACTGGCCCGGGGGGCCCCACCAAAGCGCAGGGCCCGGAGTGGTTTCCCCAATTTGCCCTACCCAAGGGATGGCCCTTCTTGCACCCATGGGCGTACCAGCTTTGTGGCATGTGGTTCGAAGAGTGTGTGCGTCAAGAAAGGATGTAGGAGTTCTGATCCTCTCTGTGAACGTGCTCCAACCATTCCTGAGGGCCGCAGCTTATGACGCGACATCTGGGGCTTGTACACTGCCATGCAGAGAACCCATCAGCTGCAGGTCTGCAGAGCTCTTTACCGGGGTCCTTCAGCAGGCAGACAGAACTCAGGAAGGCTGGTGCCAGCCCATACTCCTCAAGGTGGACGGTTCAGCTCCTGCAGTATCCGTCACCCCTCTGTGCCCCCTTAGCCGAAGGTGCAGCCTTGCAGGCTGCAGGGGAGACCAGTTGGGAGGGCTGGTCTTGGCATAGTCCACCAGTCAGATGGGCCAGGCTCTGATTCATAAGGCAGTTTGTGCGGTGCCCCGCACAGCCTGCCCATACGAGGGTGAAAGATGTCGTCATTTTAATGTGTTAGCTAACCCTGGGGTTGAGAGGGCAATCTGTGTTTTAATCTCTGTTAGCTGGTCAAGAAACTCTGACCTCCCCTATTAAAACATGTCAGTTAGCACCCCTTAAGCTGCTGTTCCTGCTCAGGGCTGAAGCCAGCCCCACCCGTGTCTACCTAAAGCACGTCATAGAATCCTCGAAGATGAGGGTTGAAAGAGACCTCAGGAGGTCGTCTCATCTAACCCCCTGCTCAAAGCAGGACCAATTCCCAACTAAATCATCCCAGCCAGGGCTTTGTCAAGCTGGGCCTTAAAAAGCTCTAAGGATGGAGATTCCACTGCCTCCCCAGGTAACTCATTCCAGTGCTTCACCACCCTCCTAGTGAAATAGTGTTTCCTAATATCCAACCTAAACCTCCCCCACTGCAACTTGAGACCATTGCTCCTTGTTCTGTCATCTGCCACCACTGAGAGCAGCCTAGCTCCATCCTCTTTGGACCCCCCTTCAGGTAGTTGAAGGCTGCTATCAAATCCCCCCTCACTCTTCTCTTCTGCCGACTAAATAAACCCAGTTCCCTCAGCCTCTCCTCATAAGTCATATGCTTCCCTCCCCCAGTCATTGTCATTACCCTCCGCTGGACTCTCTCCAATTTGTCCACATCCCTTCTGTAGTTGGGGCCCAAAACTGGACACAATACTGCAGATGTGATCTCACCAGAGGGGAATAATCACTTCCTTCAACCTGCTGGCAATGCTCCTTCTAATGCAGCCCAATATGCTGTTAGTTTTCTTGGCAATAAGGGCACACTGACTCATCCAGCTTCTCATCCACTGTAATCCCCAGATCCTTTTCTGCAGAACGGCTGCTTAGCTAGTCGGTCCCGAGCCTGTAGCCGTGCATGGGATTCTTTCATCATACATGCAGGACTCTGCACTTGTCCTTTTTGAACCTCATCAGATTTCTTTTGGCTCAATCCAACAATTTGTCTAGGTCACTCTGGACCCTATTCCTACCCTCCAGCATATCTACCTCTTCCCCTCCCCCCCCCCCCCCGTTTAGTGTTTTCCACGAACTTGCTGAGGATGCAATCCATCCCATCATCCAGATCATTAATGAAGATGTTGAAAAAACCGATCCCTGGGGCACTCCGCTTGATACCGGCTGCCAACTAGACATTGAGCCATTGATCACTACCCGTTGAGCTCAACAATCTAGCCAGCTTTCTATCCACCTTACAGTCCATTCATCCTATCCATACTTCTTGAACTTGCTGGCAAGAATACTGTGGGAGACTGTATCAAAAGTTTTGCTAAAGTCAAGGTTTATCACGTCCACCACTTTCCCCATATCCACAGAGCCAGTTATCTCATCATAGAAGGCATGACTTGCCCTTGGTGAATCCATGTTGACTGTTCCTGAGCACCTTCCTCTCCACCAAGTGCTTCAAAATGGATTCCTTGAGGACCTGCTCCATGATTTTTATAGGGACTGAGGTGAGGCTGACCAGTCTGTAGTTCTTTAAAGATGGGCACTATATTTTCCTTTCTCCAATACTCCGGGACCTCCCCTGATTGCCATGAGTTTTCAAAGATAATGGCCAAGGGCTCTGCAATCACATCAGCCCATTCCCTGAGCACCCTTGGATACATTAGATCCAGCCTAAGGACTTGTGTATGTCCAGCTTTTCTAAATAGTCCTTAACCTGTTCTTTCACCACTGAGGGCTGCTCACCATCTCCCTATACTGTGCTGTCCACTGCAGCAGTCTGGGGTGAAGACCGGGAGGGGGAAATCATTAAGTACTTCAACTTTTTCCACATCATCTGTTGCTAGGTTGCATCCCCCATTAAGTGTCCCACACTTTCCCTGACCACCACCTTGTTGCGAACGTACCTGTAGAAACCCTTCTCGTTTCCCTTCACATCCCTGGCTAGCTGCAACTCCAATTGTGCTTTGGCCTTCCTGATTACATCCCTGCATGCTCGAGCAATATTCTCATACTCCTCCCTAGTCATCTGTCCAAGTTTCCACTTCTTGTAAGCTTCCTTTTCGAGGGAGTCAGTCTGCTTTTCTGAAGTCCAGGTTCCATATTTTGCTGCTCTCCTTTTGTCAGGATCCTGAATTTGACCATCTCATGATCACTGCTGCCCAGATTGCCACCCACTTCTACTTCCCGTACAAATTCTTCCCTGCTTGTGAGCAGCAGGTCAAGAGGAGCACGGTTCCTCCAGCACTTGCACCAGAAAGTTGTCCTCAACCCTCTCCAAAAACTTCCTGGATTGTCTGTGCACTGCTCTATTGCTCTCCAATCACCCTGACATTGGCTGGAAGTCCCCCCACCATGAGAACCAGGGCCTGTGATCTGGAAACTTCTGTTAATTGTCTGAAGAAAGCCTCATCTACCTCATCCTCCTGGTCTCGTGGTCTATACCTTACCTCTGTAATGGAGACTCCCAGGGGGCAGGGCAGGGCCATCACCCCTTGGACAGAAAGGTAACTAAGGCACATTGAGGCTAAGGGGTTTGTCTACACTTTGGGGGGTGGGGGGCAGACCTGCAGCAGGAAGACTCTGAGCCCAGGTATATAGCCCCTGGCCCATGCGACATGTAGCAATACAGACATTCCCAAATGGGCTGAGAGACCCACTCCGTTCTCAGCGTTTCAGAGCCCAAGTGGGAATGTCCACCAGAGCCAGTGCTAGCCCACTGGGGGCCTTAAGCAGGAATATTTTACCCTCCCACCCCAATATTAAAGCAGGCAAATTCTTATAAGTGAATAGGGGCCCCCTTGAGCTGCTCAGGGCTCTAAGCAGTTGCTTAGTCTGCTTCTCTGATGTCCACACTGGTTTTAGCGCCCTTGCACGGGGGCTGGCTTGCAGACTCTGGCTCTGAGACTTGCAGCCCCATCTCTGTCTTGCAGCATAGATACACCCTAAGCAGCTTTCACAGGAAGTCTGTGAAAGAGAAGGGAATGGAAATAGGTTTTCTGGAGCCCAGTGGTACACCCTAACCACTGGGACATTGTTCCTTGGGGGGGCATCTTCACCATGCTCCTCTAGGGCGCCGCTAAGCGCAAAGGGTGTAAAAGGCTGAGCAGCACATAAAGAAGAGACCCAGAAAAGGGTAAAACTAGCAAAGGAATAAACCCCCTTTGCCCACCAGGAAGAGAGGGCCCTGAAGAATACAGGGAGACCACCTGGATAATGATATTCAGAAAGGACTCTTCTGTAATTGCATCTGAATTCATGTCCCAGGGTATTTTTGTCTGATGCTGAGTCGGGGCAGAGGGTCACAGTCCTGGCTCAGCAGAGCCCCTGCCAGCAGCATATGTGAGAATTCAGGCCCCAGTGCTTCGGGGTTCAGGGCCATTTCATGGCTCTGGGATTGGATCCTGGCCTGGGAGAGGTCGGCATAAATCAATGGCAGCGACTAATTGGAAAGTGCTGCCTGCAAGAGCAGCTCTACTGGATCGGGGCTTGTAAAAGGAGAACGCAGGCTAGAGAAGTGGGGAGAGTCCTTGCTGTTCCTGGGCGAGAGTGCAGGAACAATTTTTATAGTGGAAGCCATTGAACAAAACTGTAAAGCATTTGGTTGCCATTGTTACTTCAATCTGGGAGGGCTGCCGCAACCCCAGCAGCACCCCTAGCATGGGGTGGAGCCCAACATGAGGAGTGGGGGTGGTATTGCCTGCCCTGTGTGCTAAGGGGTCGCACTACAAAGGGTGCTGCCCTCTGATCCGCAAGGGGCCCACATCAGTGAATTAAAAGCAGAGGCAACCCCAGGTCGGAAAATTCCCTGGCTCGGGGCATTCAGTATCTAGACTCGCATGTCAGCAAAGAGCTCTACTGTTAGGTAGGGATACCAGCAAAGAAACCAGATCCAAACACTCCATGATCTTTGGCATATGGGAGATCTGGATTGAAATCCTGTGGGTTGAGCTCCTCTCTGGCCGGGAGCTGATAGTCCAAGCCAGCTAGGGCTGTCCACTCACCCACATTGGGAGGGTGACCAGGCCTGCTGACAGCAGTTCCAGGCCCCAGGGCAGAATAGTCAATGAGGCCCTGCACAAGCTTCGCCCGTGGCCCACCTGACTTTTGGATGGTGCTGGTGCCCAGAGAGCTGCCATCTGTGCTCCTGGACGCACTCTTCCAGCACGCCCAGGGCTTTCACACACTCGCCCAGTAGGGTTGCCAGTGGTCTAATCGCACAAACCCAAAGGGGGGTGCGGGCTCTGGGGGGGAGTTGGGGTGCAGGAGGGGGTGAGGGGTGCAGGCTCTGGGAAAGGGTGT